TGATCTTCTCCTTTGCCAGCGTTCGACAGACAGTTGATTTCGATACTTCTATATCATACTCCTCATCTAGAAACGCTACCATTTCGTCTAGATACGAGAGCTTCTTCTCCGAGCCGTTATCCAGAAGCCAATCAAGGAGGCCCTTAAGCGCCTCTGGAGTGATTTTTTGCGGCCTACCCATCTTCGCTTGAGGCGCTGGCCGTGGCTCTCCGAACGTATCAATATTCTGCCGGATTCGGCCCACAGTTGAAGCGTGGCATCGAAATCTATAAGCTATTTCTCGTGGTTCTACGCCTGTAGCAAGCAAAAGGGCCATTTCGTCGACGGTCGACTTCGAAAAGCGCAGTTTGCTCATCGCGAACTCAACACCAAGGGCCAGCAGTTGAGATAGGGCAAGAGAAGGGCGTCAGCGAGGTCTATGAGCAATTTCAAGCAATTTCTACGCGTTCTACGGCCCTAGGGAGCTATTCCTACATCTCACCGCAATTCTGCCCCGCGGCGCCAGCAATTCGAGGGTAGCGCCAAGGAATTGCAACACTTTCGCAATGCACAGTAAAAGTGGGGTAAAATTCAGGCTTTATGTGTGTCATCACAATCCTGACCGCAGGCCTGCAACAATACCGATCGGAACTGAGCTATTCGTGACTTGCCAGCCGGAACTTTACCTATCTTGGAAATGCCAGGGGCGCTGGACCTTGAGCACCGAGTTCCGGTCTTTCAGCATATGCTGAAACAGACCTCACACCGGTCTAATGGCGGCTGTGAGGAGACAAGGAGGAAGCATGTCTCACAAAAGTCTGACTACGATCGACAAATAGGAGGTGTAACGTTGCTAACGTGGGAACGTTGCGGAAGCGCGCTCTGACAGAACGCTCTGACAGCTTGATCGCCTTGTTCGGTTCTGCCTTTCCGAAGTCCTCGCCGCTTTGACTTCGCTTACCCCTGCCAGATCAGCCTCAAACTGCGACTCGTGAAGCAGAAAATTTATGCAAGGACGCATGGCGCCATAGCTGCAGGCAAGCAAATAAAATCTGTTGCTATTCAGGGATGGACGATGGAAATGGATGTCGTCTGGCTATATCCATGCTCGGAATTGTACGTAAGTAAATGAACATGGGCAAGCCTTGTCGAGACGTTGGAGAGACACCTCCAGTCAATTAGCCGCCTAGAGTGAAACAGATCAATTCACAACTTGAGAAACAAAACAAGAAGTGACATCGTAGCATAGGTATTGTTCTTCCTATTATGAGCAAAATGTATTCCGCTTATTGAACTTCAGGAACGAGATGACTACATTCAAGCTATGGATTGGTGGGAGTGAGGAAACGTGGTGGTGCCCTTTTGGCCTTCTTGAGACCTTTCCCTGGAAACATGATAGTGGATGCCTATGGTCCAAATACTTTGGTATGTTCCCCCCCCCCCCATACCACCATGATGCGCGCAAGATCTGATGCGTCTCCAATCTTAGCCACAGGATGGGACAAAACGTTGAAGATGAACAAAGGGTTTGACAACACCCTTCTCCACCGATTATGTAGGAATAGAGCCACCGACTATGAAATGCTTTTGTTCCAGATCGCTGTTCAGAATGATCCACATTTTGCAGAGACGGTGCGCCGCCTGCAGCTAGATTGGATTGTGGATGATAAACCAGCGACCTGTTTGGAACGGCTGAGATGCGCAAACAGACGACTCAATTCGGGGCAGAAACTGCCTCCTTGGGGTGATCCGTTGATAGCTGGTGATCGGAGACCACCCCGACTTCATCCATGTCAATGCAAGCTGTCTAGAGAAAGAGTTCCTTGGAATTCATCCATATACTGGGAAGGTGCTTCTGCAGAGCTGCGGAACGCGCTGGCCAAAAGAGTCGTACGTCCAAATTCACGTGAAGCACAGATTATATCTCAGAGGCCGCAAGCTATTGATCCTCCGCCAAGCTCAACCGTACGAAATCGGTCTGGAGAGCTACGCGCCCTGGTCCGAGCTGCGGCAGGCTCAACTGACCGCCGGGAAAAGTGTACAAGATTGATGAAAGAAAGTGTAGCTGATCAGGATATGTGTATGTTTGTTGGACGTCAATTGCACAATTGAAACGAATGCTAACTCATCTCCAACCACAGACCCTACTGATCTCATCCATTTGGTAGCTACAGGAGAAGCCACGACAGATCAAAAGCGCTTATTTAAGTATAACGTACTCCGCAACCCGGCATTCCGAACCGAAATCTACTACCAGCAAAAGACGTACAGATTGAATGAAGCTTTTACGGACGAGCGACGACTGCTTACCGCATACGAACACTCTCTTATTGACGCTACAGGTCTTGCTCGCGCTCAACGATCTCAAGCTGGAGGAGCCTCATCTCGAAGTGCACATGGCCGCAGTACAGCACCTATAGGAGGTGTAGTACCCCAAAGAACTGTTCCAGCACCTCGAGTCAACACAGCACCTACAGGAACTACAGAGCCTACAGGAAGTGCAGCTTCCCAAAGAACTTCAACAGCACCTCGAGACATCACAACACCTGGAGAAAGTGCAGCATTTCAGAGAAGTGTCCTAGCACCTGGAGATAGCACACCGCATAAAGACTATGAAGTACCCAAAGCCAATACAGTACCCAGAACCGGTACAGTACCCAGAGCCAGTGCAGTACCCGGAGCTTCTACAATACCGAGAGCCAGTACGGTAGCAAGGACAGCTGTTGGACAACGTCAAGCCGAACGAGGTTCCCCAAGTCAGCCCCTCCCTTTTCCAGCAATACCACGCCCAGTTGCAAGAAGGCTTTTCAGTCCCCAGAAAACGGATTTTGATGGCTTTCCAACGCGTGAGCACGTTTCCTCATTTAGGGGAGGTCTGGGATCACAAACACACGGGCCAGCCGATATCATCGATTTGGTGGTCGAGAACTCAGCCACCATGGATCAATTAGACTTATTCGAGAAAAGAGTCATAGAGGACGACGAGTTTAAAGCAGGCATAGTTGACAAGTTACGACTACTGCGCCAACATTCGGCTATGGACGAAGTCGACCGGCTACTTAAAGTGATGAAACGCATCGCAATCCACAATTTATTCCAAGTCTGAAGATATTTGTTTGATAGGTAGAGATGGTACATCTGCGTTATGAAGAGATACGATTAAAGAGGAAATATAAGGTTCCAAACACGCTGCAAGAAGCGCCGTAGTTCAACGTTCAACGAGCTGCAAAGAGCACCCACAGAACCCGGCTCAACAAACTGACGAGCATGCCAGTCCAGAATCTTTGTATACAGGCAGCTCTGGTGGGATTAGCATATACAAGATATGGGAAGACCTGGCGAGGGAGTAAGATTTAATCTTGAGCTGCAGCTGCCACAGTACTGGGAAATGACACATGTGGTCCAAGATTTAAAGAGATGCCGGATGACATAAGATGATACCCGATTCATTCGACATCGAGCACTATTGTGCATTGAGTAATGGTTGCAGGCACACAGGAAGAGAGCTGAGAATGGTATGGTTGGAGGTGAAGAGAGCCTTGGGATTGATCAACTAATCAGTTCACGCCACTGCATGACACAATACGACAAAAAAGGGGATCTAATAAAGGGACCTGAAGATTTGTTGCTGAGTACGGAAAATCTAAGGGATCTAATAAAGGGACCTGAAGATTTGTTATAGGGACCCGAAAATCTTGGCATTTATTGGCAACCATCTAATCTAGTACGTAGTAGGACTATCTTCTTTAGGGGTGCTCAGGCCTGGCCACTGCCTACCTCTGTCTATGCCCGTGGAATAATTACACACGGGCCTTTCTGTACGAGTGGAATACACACGACCCTTTCTCTACCTCATTGCTACGGCCTGCCTCTGCCTCCTGTCTGCCTCTGCCTCCTGCCTACCTCTGCCTCATACCGACCGCTGCCTGCTGCCTGCCTCTACTATGCGGCCTGTGGAACCAGGTCACGCAGTAATAGGCCTTAGAGGTACGGAGTAGGTCCAGAAGATAGGCCCTGAAGGAAGATACGAGGTAGGAGGGCGTCTCTAGAGGCTGGTCTGAAAAGCAGAGACAGGTCTGGAAGGTAGAGATAGGCTGAGTAAGCAGAGATGTATTATAGAGAAGCCCCGGGGGATAGGCTCTGCAGATTAGGCTCTGGGAGGAAGCTCCCAGGAGATAGGCCCTAGGAGGGATGCTCTAAGCAGTAGGGTCTATTCTAGATTAGGTAGTCGTCAAGAAATGCCAAGAGATTCGGGTACCCGTAGTAAATATTCGGGTCCCTTTATTAGATCCCCAAAAAAGTGCTAGTTAGAGTCACGTGGTCCGGCTAATTGCGGGTGAAAAGACCAAACATCCTTCCACCATTGTCTGCTCTAAAAAGCTCTGAACATCTTCTCAACAACAGTCCAGAACAGCCACCAGCCCAGTAGCCTTGCAATCCTGTCCTTGTAGCCGAGATGCGCAGGGTTCCTCAGGTGAATTGTAAAAGGACGGCTGGCTAAGCAGGCAGAGACAGGAGCTGCTGGATGGCAAAAACTAACAGCAATCCACAACATCATGAGTTGGAAGAAGCTTACTGGGTCACGGCCACCACCTGACCTGTGTGTACTAAATCTTCTACCTCGATAGAGCTCATCCTGAATGAGCGTCTGATCTGTTGCGCTAGCGGAGGCTCATAGAAGGGTGAGTTTTCAAAAGTGTGTTGGGGATTCCTCAACAAACGTGAGCAGTCGTTCTCCGCGTCTGTGGCCATTGATAGGTTTCATTACGCTGTGGATTAAGTCCTGAAAGAAAGACTAGTAGCGAAGCAAGATGGCTGTAATAAAATGTCCGGCGCGGTTTATGTTTCAGGTCAATTTCCACAGCCCTGTTGCTGTGAATATTTGCAACGTGGGAGTACAAAGCTTGCTTAGATCAAGAAGATGAATTGATCTTTCTTATGAGGCAGATGTGATGATGTTTGTTAGTATTGGGATTGGGATTGGGATTGGGATTGGGATTGGGATTGGGATTTTCCTTCCTCTGCACAATGAGCACTGAGAAGACCGGGAAGGAGCGACCTCTTGACGTTGGAGTTGTGGATAGATGTACAGATCTGAGTCTGGTCACAGAAAAGCTGTTTCGTTTGAAAAGAAGGAAGACACTATGTACAGCTGGCAGATCCAAAGACTGAAAATGAATGTCTGCAGCATCAGCACACTCCCCATGGCTGGCTGCAAGAGCAACCACGTGACTGCTGGTCGAGCGGTGTTTGGTTTTTATTATGTTCACTGCGAACCACTAACTCCCAACACCTCACTTTACGCTCATTCTCACCACATATCACTCGTATCAAATGCTATGTTGGATAATGCAAAGCGGTTGGATAACTTGTCATCCGCTCTGAGATATCCCAGCTGTGCCTCTTCTTCCTTTTTGGGCAATGGAGCAAGTCGAAGCGCCGAGAATTCCGCCTGGCGTTCGCGGTTCGTTTGATGAAGAGACGTGTCGAATGCGCCTAGATAGACTGGGCATAGAACATGTGCCCAGATACCCCTTCGAATATGGTATCCAGCAGATATACGCAATCTTGCTTGGTGAGTATGGCCGCTCCCAAATTGCTGATGTGATCAGCGTTCTTCACGAGCTACTCGAAGATGAGAGCGTTGAGGGATACATTTGGAGGTCATGGAGACATGAATGGCGTCACCGAAATGTTAGTATTCAGCTCATGCCGTTGCTAGAGGAGTTTGATTCTGACATGGAATTTAGGACGATATCTTGAACCCATTCGTTCCTGCTGTTGGTGACTTTGTGCTCCCTCCCCCATCGAGCAAACGCATACGAGCCCTCAAAGCAGCGAATTTCTCCGCTACTGAAGGCCAGATCTTGACCTCAAGCAGGAGTTCTGTAATCGATCACGATGAGGAGCTTCCATCGTACATTTCGTCCCAATCGCTAGCACAGTCCCCTGCAGAGTCTCCTGATTATGAGCGTACTTTCGATACAGGCTCTGTTGTCAATCATGAAATTGTCCAGGAAACAAGACAGCATGAAAACCAACAAAGCAAATCTGACTCACAGCAACATATGAGACCAAGCACTGATGAAGATCCCAATGACCAACCCGTTCGCAATGAGAATGACATTCTGTCGTCAAAAGCAAACGAAGATAACGAAGACTTATCGCAGCAGTCTCCTCTCAAGTCTGGTGAGGTAGGACAGCCTAGCGATCAGGGCAGCTCAGTTGTGCAAGATGATGGACCGGATAAAGACTCTCAACAAGAATTTGCTAGTGTTACCAATAGTGATGGCCACCATGATGATCCAAACTTGCTCAATTTTGAAATGCTAGGTACGCGACCAAGTCTTTTATCTCAGCACCGTCGAACACACAGTGAGCCCACAGACACACTCGTTCTCCGTCCAGTCCATTCCGGGGGCCCCTCAAGCGATATAGGTAGGGATGTGGAAATGCCTTACCGTCGCTGGTCAGAATATCTCGAGCCAGGCAACGATCACGAAGCAGAACCTGGTGGGCGACCTGCCAACAGCACGCCAAGAGCACAGCAAGCCGATGCCAGCCTCGGCCAAGACGAGCCAGCTACATGCTCAGCAGTGCTTCACATGCCCTTCACAAGCCCAATGTCCAATGCCGAATTCAACGAGGGGCTTCTCGACAAGTCTGAAGCCCATCCAGCTCCGTCGGCTGGACACCAAGAGAAAACCGACGATGATATTCAACAACTCCTCCCAGATGCTGCTTACCATGACCAAGCGGTGCGCATGCCGGTGTCGATCGTCAAGTCTTACACAGCTGAGAAAACCACTGCTTCGATCGACACAGCTTCTGATCATGCCTCGCTTCACTCCTGGCGCGGAGATAAGTCGGATGCTATCGAGGCTAATCATCGCGAGATCAGCGTCATCAATGGTGAGGTGCTCTCCCATGCACCGCAGCAGAGCGTCTCGCCTACATCAGGAAGATTCCCCATTGATAGTCCTGGTGAAGAAGAAATCAGTCAAATTCGATCTCACAAGTGTGAACCGAATGAGCATGGGGATGGTGTGCAATGTAGCCGCATATCAGCTGAAAGATATCCCATCGATGGCCATGAAAGTTCTCACGGCAAGCGCCGAACATCTATGCTTCTCAGCCTTAAAGAAACACAACCAAGTAAGCTACTTCGACGTGGTCGCAGTCTTCTGCAGCACATGCCAAAATTATTCCGAAAAGGTCGTGGAAGTAAACAAACAAACCACCAAGATCCCGATTCAATTGAGGGTGGTTCATCAACCACGGCAGGTCTCTTGCGCCGCAGAAGCACCAAAACTGGGTTGCGTTCAAGAATAGGTATTGGCTCTCGACCAAAAGTCGGACCAAACCGCACTACTCCTATATATTCATTTGACGGTGCCTGTGATGAAGATGATACCATGTCAACAATGCCTGGAGTCGATTTGAACAAAGCTCTTCCTCCCCAGCCACTTTTGACGAAGAGCGAGACACCAGCTACATGCGGAACAAACACTCCGTCACTTGCCCATTCTTATGAATCCAAGACTCAGCCTTCAACTGCATCAACTCTCGCGTCAGAACTTTCCCGAGTCTCCAGCAAGAAACGTTTCCATCGTACTACTCATGACCTCGTTCACCCTGATATGGCAGGGTCCAGAGAACCGTCTCCTCTTCACGAACTTGACGCTGATAAGCTTCTGGTTGCTTCAAAGTATGACCCTCTTGCTTCTCCGAAGCAGCCAGACACGTAAGTGGCATTGTTCAGAAGTGCCTCAACCCTCTGGAAACTGACTGTGTGCAGGCCTATGACCTTTAGCAGCTTCAGTAATGCTAATCCTTTCATGGATCAATACGATGAATTTATCCCGCCAATGCCAGTACCTGTGATACCTGAGCTCAGATTACCAGATCCAGTCAAATCATCGCGAGCTTATGGCATTCCGCAATCACGATCGGACGGCCAAATTTATTCTCCCAAAACTCTACAAGTTGAACACACCAGATCCAAATATCAACTGGGACAATCTGACGGCACCGATGAACATTCTACCACCACCCCACGAGGCCGGGTCCCCAGCCGCAATGTCCCTCAACCAACAGCGACTCTCGCAAGTGCAGATGAGAAGTCTGCTTCCCGTCGAGCTGAATCACGCAAGAGATCTCGGAGTCCAGTAAAGCGGTTTCTAGGACTCGGAAAGAGTCAAAGCATGAAAGATATACCTCAAGACAAAGGAGCAAATGATGAAAGTGACAAAAAGGCGGGTCTCAAATTATGGGGTGACAGGCTTCGCCATGGGTTTCTGGTGAGCATCTCTTCGCCTACCATTCAAAGCATACTAACAGATTTTTGGACAAATACTGAGCCGAAAGCGAATACCAATAGCCCTCAACCAGAGGTTGGCAGATCTAGAGCCCCTTCTCAGTCTACCTTCCCTATCTCTATTCCTCCAACCCGCCAAGCGAAAATCCAATGCGAAGTCGAACTCATGATCTGCGTCACTGCCAATAAATTTCTCAAACACCAAGAGAAAGCCGGTCTCATGTCCCCAGAATCTGTTACCAAAGTTGTGGGTCAATGGAAACAAAAAAACCGACCTCAAGTTTTGGAGTTCCAATTCGACCAAGCAACCCAGCGTGATCTCGTCCTCTACAATATCAATACCTTCAAGTTCTACGGTGAAGCTCAGACTAGTCCCATTGTTCTCAATGCAACAATGTACGCATGGAAAGTCATGGCGAAGGAGATGAGCGTCAGAACATTCTGCACACCAGACAGTGTCATTCGCAAGCATCTACACGATACGCACAAAGTCTTGGAGATGCTAGGGGCAGGATTGCCGACGTTCCTAGCGCTACAGGAGTTGCAGGTCGCCGCGCTGAAGGAGATGGCGGATAAGCAGAAGGTGAGGGTCGAGAGGCGGAGACAGCGCGAAAAGGAGAAGGAAGCGGGCGGTTCTGGGACGATGGCGGGCTCGGGGACGGGAAGTGCGAAAACGAGGAAGTTCACACCGCCAACACCCACTACTTCGTCTTTCATGTTGACTCCTATGGGGGCGTTTCTGGATGAGGAGACATTGTTTGAGAGTCAGTTTGAGGGCTGAGCAAAGATGAAGTGACGGGTGATGGAGGAGAATTGCCTCTGTACAAGTACCAGCAAGTGATCCGTGTCCAGGGTGGGAGAAGTCCAGATACCCCAACCACCGTATGCACTGAGCAGTAATCAACGAAAATGTGCACTGAATCCTCGATCTTGTCTCCCGTATTGCCTCTCATCAACTCGTGCTACCAACCCTCTCCCACATGGGGACAAAAACAGAACCCTAAGATAGCTTTAATTGCAACGCCCAAATATGAAAACGAGCCCAGTTCCATACCTGGCCCCGCATGCATCCGATCCGCTCGGCCCGCCCCCTACCAGCGGCACTGCTAGAAGACAAACCCAGATCTCATCGTCCTGATATCCAACTCGACCTCCGCCCAAGCGCACCTGATTCCCCTCCACTTACATGAGCTCAGCTCAGCTCAGCTCAGCTTGCTCCCAGCTCCTCCTCGTCAGTGGGGTTGTTGTAAATATCTCTTGATTCTTCTCCAATCTGCCGTACAGCGGCTGGGGTATAGGATATAGTGTATGCGCACTCATCTCGATAACTCAAGTGCTCCATCACT